ACTCTGTTGTTTGGCTGCTTTTCTGTTGTTGGTGCCTTACTGTTGTCGGTGCTTTCTGTTGTTGTGCCGCGCCTCTGTTGTTGGTGCTTCTTGTTGGTGCTTCTGTTGTTGGCGCCTCTGTTGTTGGTGCTTCTGTTGTTGGTGCTTCTGTTGTTGGTGCTTCTGTTGTTGGCTCAGCAGTTGTTAAGACTTCTGTTTGAGTCGCGTCGATCGTAGTAAATATTCTCGTTGTCGTTTCCTCTTTCTGATTTGGCTGAATGACTACATAACCCTTGTGAATTAAACTAGGGGCTTGCTTGGAGAGGAGACCATATGGATTTGAAGAGACACTGAGCACATCTTGTGTAACGCCGGCCGCCACCTGTTTGTATGAATTGAAATGGCATTGGTTCAACAAAATCTATTGGAAATTTTACACTCAATGCGAGGTCGTGCGTATATCACGGAGACGAGCAGCACTAGCTGCCAGAAATGCCCAGAGTACTCTTTGTCGTGAGTAAAATGCATGCGGTTCTGCCTAATAGTTTTCCGCGAGCATTATCAACAGCATATGACGTTGACATATATTAGAAATATCGTTTACCATCTATAGCTGTCAGCAGCTATTGTTCGCAGATCAATTTATCAACTATCTGGGCCCCGGCATTTAGAATCGGCTACGTGGGATATATATGTTATCTGCCCTATCTAATGTTCTGGCTATAATACGTGTATCTATACAACGACGTTAGTGTCCCGTGACAACGACACAGTGACGCGTCAAGGACCTGCATCGCAAGGCAAAGAGTTACCCGGGTTTGATGTCACGCTTTTACGAACCCGAGTATAGCTTCCTGCCGAGCTAACGCAACCGAGCTAGATACTACCCGATTATATATCTGAGTAACGTCGGTTGAGAACTCGGGTAACTAACTATATACTCACACAGGCGGCTAACGTGAGGAGGTGAATCCACATTGAACTCAGTGTGGCGAAATCTGAAACAGAAAGTGGAAGTTTGACCCTAGTTCACACGGGCTGGAAAGTGCGTTAGATTGCGCAGTGACATATCGAAAATCATATGTGCAATATAATGTTATATCTTTCCACTTCTACAAATGCTATATCTTTTACGTGTTGGTAGTTTCTACGTCATGTGTGTGTGTG